ACATTAAAATTTTATGAATTTTGTGTATATTTCCCAAAAGTTGGTCAAGTGATTACTTATTTTTGAAGATATAATTTGATGTACAAATTATCAAAACAAAAATCATCCAAAGAAGAACATTGAAAATGCATAAATACTATAATATCTCCTTTATACATAATTTTCAAATACTGTTGATAATTACTCACTTGATTATAGACAATGAATATTTTACTGTTAGCAACCTAGGCAAGGTTGGCATCGGATCTGTGTGATATATGGATACATCTAAGGCATATTACCTGACCTCTGGAGTGGCATCTCAGGTTGAAATAGTGTGTAGATTCCTTCAAATCACAACAAAATAAAACATAATGTATGACCCTTGACTTGGCTTAAAATATTTTGATTATATTTCTCAAACAAATATGAATATAAAACTAGAAATACGTTTCTTATCCTTATAGCTTTTATAAAATTAAAACAAAAAGAAATTTACAAAGCAAATACTAAAAAAATGATAAATGTATCTTAGTACAAATCTACTGTGACAGATGATGTTTTGCTGAAACCAGATAGTTGTATACAATGTAAATATAGTGCTGTCAGGGCACTAATTATTGCAGAGTGTATAGTTTAACACAATACAACCATGGGCTATATAACAAATTATTTAGTTTTCCAACTCATTTCTCCTTTTGACTCCAGTGAAAATTTTGCACCACATTTAATATATCATTTAGCTTTCATTTTGTATAAATGGATTGTTTATTTATTAACCCATAAGCCAGAATTATTTTAAATAACACCTCATGACACAACACATTTCAACAAAAGCAAATCCAGGCTCCATAGTTAGGGCATTCAGCTGATCCTAGGTTCATAATATGCTCATGTTGAAACTTTTCAAACTATTGCCAGTGTTTATGGTTTTGCTGGGGGAAACTAGTAGAATCCCTCAGAGTAAACTTGCAGACTTCAAGGAGAGAAACATGACCCTAGGAACATATTATTTAGCTATAAATCCTTCTCTATTTATTCTGGAAAATCATTCCCTAAATGCCATCAAAATTAAAATGTTAGTTCAAATGTGTCATAATTTTCATGTTCTTAGATTCTTAAAATAAATATTTCATATTTGTAATTTAAACCAAAAACCATTATGTCTAATCCCTTTAATAATGAACTAAGACAATGTTAGTGTGATATGCCTAAATCATAGTCACAAAATACCATGGGAATGACAAGATTTTTAAAATTAATTATATTAGACATTAATTATCACACTAATACAAGATTTACATTCAGCTAGATTTTTTATAATTCAAACATTTCTTGAATAAAAGAAAAGCAAATATTACAAATGCAAAGCAAGACTAATCCCATTTCAAGTAGCATTTTGCCAGTCAAATCTCCTATTTCAGCAATTCAAGTAATCGACCACGGTATTGACTGACTTAAAAAAACACACATTTAAATAATTCTTTTAGTGATGAATTTATAAAGATTGCAAAAGAAATAGCTAAGAGGAACTGAACCTACTTCTATGGAATGAAATGCAGATTAGAAACAGTTAATATAAGGAAAATATATTGAATAAATTACCCATTAAAGTACAGAATAGTTATAACGTGAACTCTGAATTTCTCATCACAGGACACATATGGATAATTAGTTAGTGATATATTGGTATACATAAAAATATAGATATGAATGTGATTATAGTTAAAGAGAATTTAAAAAAGTATTTGTATATGGATATAGATGCAAAATGTGGTAAAGAAGGATTTTTAAAATATACATATAGAGATAAGGATATAGCTATAAATGCAAATATAGTTAAGAAAGATTCAAAATAATATTTAAGGATATAAATGATTTAAAATGAAAGATGTGGAAAAGAAGGAGGGCAGAAGGAATTCACTAAACTTTCTCATAAACAATTTAGTATCAATGTCATATGGGCAAAGCATAAATTTTAATCCGATAACCAAGAATGACCAGTGTCATCTGCACTCCTCCTTGTCTGGCCCCTTAAGTTTGCCTTCCCAGTTTGACTTTGTTTTCCAATATCTACATCTCATATCAGTTGTCACTTTTTAGTTTCACAGCTCAAATGCTGATTTTAGAGTGACTTTCTACTGCTACTGGTGTGTTGTGACTAAAGATTCCATCTTTCATAATTAACTTTTTTAAAAAAAATGTATTTTTACTGATTTCAGAGAGGACGAGAGAGAGAGAGAGGGAGAGAGAGAGAGAGAAAGAGAAAGAGAGATATAAACATCAATAATAAGAGAGAATCATCGATCAGCTGCCTCCTGCATCGATTAGTTGCCTCCTGCATTCCCCTCATTGGGATGGAGCCCAGATCCCACCTGGGCACGTGCCCTGACCAGGAATTGAACCTCAACCTCCTGGTTCATAGGCCGACACTAAATCACTGAACCATGCTGGCTGGGTTTTCATAATTACTTTTAACTGTTCTTTGTAATCTGTACCATACAAAATATTCTAGTGTGGTTTAGAACCGAAACCGTGGCATCAGATAGATTGGCATTCTAACCTTGGTTCTATAATCCATAGTTGTGGTGTGACATTGGATAATTAGTTTAACCTTTAAAAACAGGGGAGGACAGTGCTTACCTCCCTCTGTTGCTCTGAGGACCAATAAGAAAGCATACTGTTGTGTATATTAAGCATGATATACAAGTGTAGGCTGCCTTTTCTTACATTGTATTTTCACTTTTCCTTTATGACTTTTTGTGTGTAAATACACTGCTTTGTTGTGCTGTTTGGAAAGTTTTCTAGAACACAAAAGCTTTAGGACAGACAATAATATATCCAAGGTAAATGACACCATCAAGATTCTCTTTTGGTATGAAAATGTCTTTTTTTATGGTTTTTATCTCTTTCCTATCACCAATATTCACAATTTTACATATATTTGGTGTGAAAAATAAGCTAATCTTCACACCAACTTAAATGTTTCCCATTCTCAATGTTTGAGTTAAACATAGAAATCAACTTAAAAGTTATCCATCCTCTATGTTTGAGTTAAACATAGAAATAATGCTAAGTAATTGCAAAAAAAAAATTAATTCAATTTCACAAGTAAATCTGCAGCCAAAAAAAAAGACCCAAGAAGCAAACTGTAAATTCAGGAAACACATTTTGTACAACATTTAGGCCATAATACTAGTAAAGGTTTAATGATATGTGATTAAACACACACACGCAAAGGAGAACATGCAAGCCAATCTAAAGAAAAACCAAACAACATTTTCTTCATTAAATATGCTTTATCGCTAAATATAATAAATAATATATTACCCTACATTATAATTGCACAGTTATATGGACTGTATGGATACCCCAAAATACTCTTTTAATAAAGACAATTGTTATTTTTTGAGAGTATCATGCTAAGTAAATATAGAACCATATGATTTCACTCATGTGTGGGATGTAAAACAAAATGCAATGAATGAACAAACAAACAAAGAAACAGAAACAAACTCATAGATACAGACAACAGAATGGTGGTTACCAGGGAAGAAGTGGGTAGGGGGAGGATAAAAAGGTAAAGCCAGTCAAATACAAGGTTATGAAAGGAGACTAGACTGGGTAGTGAGCACACAATTGAATACACAAACAACCCTATATAATAAGAGGGTAATATGCAAATTGACAAAATGGTGGAAAGGCTGTCCTTATGACATGTACTGACCACCAGGGGGCAGACGCTCAACACAGGAGCTGCCCCCTGGTGGTAGTGTGCTCCCACAAGGGGAGCGCAGCGGCCCACCTCTGAGGCAGTGCTAAGAATGTCCAACTGCAGCTTAGGCCTGCTCCCTGTGGGGAGCGACCTAAGCTGTCAGTCAGACATCCCTCTGAGAGCTCCTGGACTGTGAAAGGGTGCAGGCTGGGCTGAGGGAACCCTCTACCCCCTGTGTGCACCAATGTCATGCACGCAGCCTCTATTATATTATAAAATTGTATACCTGAAACTCATATAATGTTATTAAGCAATGCTACCCCAATAGGTTTAATTGAAAACACAGGAAGAAATAAAATGTCATGCTAGAAGAAAATATGAGAACTAACATAAACAGAACAAATATTTGTGAATGTATATATGAAAAATATTCACTATTGTTTCACTTGTTTTGTGAGTATTGCACTATTTAGAGCAAAACATATGCTCTTAGACTTAATGTGAATATGGTTATATTTAACTTTATAAATCAAATGTATACTTCACATATTTAAAAAATATTTTCATATCTTTAAAGGCAAAGTTTAAATGCTACCTTTGCGATGAAGTTTCCCCTAGGAAGAATTACTGTTGGAAATATCATTGCACCTTATAATCATCTCATTTGCTTTTATACTAAGGCACATGTCTCTGTATGTTTAAGAATGCCTAGCACCGCAAGCCATCAATATAGTAAATGCTAAAATCAAGTAGAAAGAAATAAGTTATTCTAAAGAGAAGGTATTTAAAAAAAGATTTCCCACTGATTTTTAGAGCTAGAAGAAGGGAGAGGGAGAGACAGGAACATTGATGTGAGAGCAAAACATTATGTTGCCTACCAGAGATCAAGTCTGTAACCGGAGCATGTGCCCTGACTAGGAACCAAACCATCAGACTTTCGGTGCACGGAAGATGCCCAAACAACTGAGCCACACTGGCCAGGGCAGGAGTAGGCCTTTTGAAAAGAATGTTGCACTATGGTTATTTGCGTGCATGTTTGTACCTTTGACATAAAATGCCTCAAGATACCAGAGTAAGATATCTAAAAATAGAGGCTGTAACATATACTAGTCCATCCCCAGGAACATTTCACGTAAATAAAATTTTGTTGTAGAAAAGAAACATAACATCTGATTTTCCATCCATGGAAGCAAAGTTAAGTTTTCTCTAAACATTGCTGGGGGAAGTTAGATCATTCTGACAGAAGCAGGTAACTTTTCGGTGGAGCAGTGCACACGCAGGGTGGGACAGAACAGGAGGGACTTACGACCATCTTGTTGAGCGACACCCAGCAGTCCGAGGGGAAGTCCTGCAGCAGCGGCACCAGGAACTGCAGGCAGCCGTCCCAGTGGCACAGCAGCAGCATCATGCCGATGAGGTTGAAGATGCGCACCACCGCGCTGGCCAGGTCGTAGGTCATGTGGAAAATCTGGGACCAAAATATAAAGTCGGTTCTGATAATCAAATCTTTTTAAAAAGTCAAGAATACTACCAATGTCAGTAGTCATTGATATTACATAGTGTAAGTGCTGATTTCATAAAAATATGAGAAGACTTTTACAAAGAGAAACAGAATTCCATTTCTTTCTCTCTGCACGGAGACCAGGCATCCCGCTTTCTGAATACTACAAACGGCTGTGAGTCCTCCGCAAAGAACAGAGATAACAGAGATACTCATTTATGGATAATAAAGACCATTATAAACTTATGAACAAAAATAGATACAGAGGCAGAGTTGCCTCGAATAGACTGTCAAACTGCAGCGGGAAGGCCAGGGAGGGAAGGGGGGCAGAAGGAGGGGGTAGGAGATCAACCGAAGAAC